CCTCTCTCCACTCTTTTCAAAACACCTCTGTGTCTTGGGATACTGACCTTTATGGATTGCATCCATTGGTAGCCTTGCCCTCTGGCTTCCGGTTGGGTCAGGCCAATGAGAAGCTGTCAGCAAGAACATTGGGTGGAAGCAGGAAAGTGAGGTATGAGTGTTTGTACCCCCCACACCCTCTGGGTCAGGTCCCAGTCCTGCCAGATGGCCTCTCCTGTAACCTATGACTAATCTCTCCAAGTCCCGCCCCCACCCCCTATTCAGGCCTAGGGGCGATAACAGTTCCCTGCTGTCCCTATAAGGAGCACCACCATCTCTGTTGCGTTCCTTTTGCTTGCCTAAATCTTTGTAAATAGTCCCTTGATGAACCTCTCTTCAACTATCCCATTTGAGCGGGATGTTTTCTGCTGGGACCTCATTGATGCAGGGAAATAAGCAAAATGATTCCTGATACTGCCTATGAAACCTAGATTGTAAAAGGCGATAGACTTATGGAGTGGGAAGAAACGGCTCTTTGAGTTGGTACCCTGACTGATGAGCAGAGTTCAGCAATGCTGGGGCAGAGCATTCCAGACCAAGGGAAAGCAAGTGCAAAAGATCCGAAGTAGAAATGAGCTCCGTATATTCAAAGATGGAACGTGAGGCCCAGGGAGTGAGGAAGGGGTGGTGTGATCCATGATGAGAAGCAGGCAAGAGCCACAGCTGGTGGAGCCCAGCCATGGTGAGGAGTTCAGACTGCATGGTAAAGGCAATGGAAAGACACTGAAGGGTTATTATGCAGGAGGGNCTATAATTTGTATGATTTAGAAGATAGAGTTCGAACAAGAGCCAATGGCCTATTTTGGACTATTTTCACTTCTCTCTGTGTATCCACCATTGGTATATTAGTCAGGGCAGGCTAGGTTAGGCTGTGGTAATAAATATCACCAAATATCTCAGGACACTAACACCACAAAAATGTACTTCTTGTTTGCATTAAATCCATTGCAGGTCCAGGCCGCTCTTCAGGACATTTGTCCTCATGCAGTGGCTCAGTCTTACCCACTTCCATCTCAACATGCTTCCTGGTTCACCTTGGTAAGAGAAAGAAGATGGAAAAACAACACACCAGCATTTACGTGCTTTTCCCAGAAGGAACACGGGTCACTTTTATTCCTAGCTTATTGGCTAGCACTAATCACATCATTCCACCCAACTAATAGAGGGGCAGGCAGTTTTCCATATGTCTGAGGGGAAGAAAATTGGAAATATCTGTTGGTATCAGTAATGTTTACCACAACTAGTAAGTACATAGTGTTGGTTCAGTTTGGTACCAGGGCAGTGAAATCTTCTCTAGACCTCAAAGAAAATGTGATCGAGCATAGGACAAGAGTGTTACGATACATGGCTTGGTTTCTTTGCCTCATGCTTTGTGGACATGGTCAGTCTGAAGGTAAATACAATCTCAACATGATATAACCCACATAATATCTAGAGGTGGCTTTGTGTTTCTTTCTGCACAAGTCCTTCTCCCAACAATTATTCCTCTCATGCTTTCTTTCTTATTTTTACCCAATAATGAAAAATGGTCTTGGGTTAGCATATTCCTGTCCTTCCCCAACCCCAAATTTCCTTTATACAAAGGGTGTTCTCTGAGTGCAAAAACACCATGCAATGGGGAGAATCCTCGGAGTCAGTATTTCCATGTTGTCTAAAAAGGTTCTATCCACTCTCCATGAAATTTAAGAAATGATCATCACACTGACTTCTGCAATATTTACCCTTGATTACCCACCAGTGCATTATCCAATTTGCTTCCTAATTGTCGTTGACATTATTAGGTTAGGAAGATACTTTTTCACTCTAACTCACTATCTCTTCTTTAAAAGAAGAGACTTTTCTTGAGGAAGACTTTTCTGAAACCACAACAGATTTTGTGTTCTCTATGTTAGAAAGAGTGAGAAACATAAATGTGCTAACTCCCTTCCTCCAACCCCTTTTGGCTCCATCAGTCCTTCATTCTCACCTGGAAGTTGGGTCAGAGCAGAGTCTACTGTGGCAGAAAAACACCAGGACAAAGAGGAAGAAAAGGGGAACGCTGTGTCATGATTCAGTTCCTAGCAAACTTTCATTCACATTCTCTCTACCAGTGGAAAGAACAGATTTGAGAAGTACAAGACTAAAAGCAGGAGGCCGGTTCCATTTCTTCCTCTGNGCTGGAGGAACTGAAACCATCTGGGTGATTTCTGGTGCTTCTTTTAATAGCATGTCAGTTATTCTTATGACCGATCATTCAAAGCTGTCTATTACCTTCTAATAATAATAATAATATTTTTCACTTAATGTTGCACCTTTCACCAGGAGATTTCAAAGAGCTTTGCAAACATTCATTAGCACTTTATTAAGTGGGCAGGTAATGTATAAATGCCAAGTCACATATCTCTGAATAGCAGCCATTAACAGTTCCCTTGACACCACATTCAGGTTAGGGCAGAAACAAACAAACAAAAAGACCATATAAATGAAAAGTCAGGCCTCATCATTGTGGGCATATACTGGGCACCCAGAGAATCCTAGCTGAGATGACCCTCATTTTCTTGTCTCTCAGTTGGTGGGAAAGGCGGTCTGTTTCTGTCCTCTTGCTACCTCTCCTCACACATACAAGCACCTCTTCCTGAGACATGGTACAGACCGATGTACAGAAAACCCAGAATACTGGATTCTTTCAGCCTCAAAACTCTTAGAATCCCTGCTAAGAGGAGGCATTTTCCTGGGGGGAAAATTCTGGTTGTTCTAAAGATGATCCTCACACAAGAATCCTAAGTACTTTCAGCCCAATCCTCAGATCAAAATGGAATGATTGAAATGCACACCGGAGGCTAGGAAGGAGAACCATTCAGACCCTGGGAAAGAGGAGTTAGAACAGAGTTTGGGTGTGGCCAACGACTACGGAAGAGCAAGTACACGAGGTGGCCCTGACAGCCAGGGTTACAGGTGCTCCAGTTGAGTAACTGGTGGCAAAGGGCAAAAGAGAAGAGTCGCCCCTGAATCCCGATCCTCTATAATTTGTATGATTTAGAAGATAGAGTTCGAACAAGAGCCAATGGCCTATTTTGGACTATTTTCACTTCTCTCTGTGTATCCACCATTGGTATATTAGTCAAGGCAGGCTAGGTTAGGCTGTGGTAATAAATATCACCAAATATCTCAGGACACTAACACCACAAAAATGTACTTCTTGTTTGCATTAAATCCATTGCAGGTCCAGGCCGCTCTTCAGGACATTTGTCCTCATGCAGTGGCTCAGTCTTACCCACTTCCATCTCAACATGCTTCCTGGTTCACCTTGGTAAGAGAAAGAAGATGGAAAAACAACACACCAGCATTTACGTGCTTTTCCCAGAAGGAACACGGGTCACTTTTATTCCTAGCTTATTGGCTAGCACTAATCACATCATTCCACCCAACTAATAGAGGGGCAGGCAGTTTTCCATATGTCTCAGGGGAAGAAAATTGGAAATATCTGTTGGTATCAGTAATGTTTACCACAACTAGTAAGTACATAGTGTTGGTTCAGTTTGGTACCAGGGCAGTGAAATCTTCTCTAGACCTCAAAGAAAATGTGATCGAGCATAGGACAAGAGTGTTACGATACATGGCTTGGNGAACTGCTCAGAAATTGCGAGGTGCTGTTTTCTCAACAGTCAGTGTGTCATTTCCTTTCTTTCCTACTTCCGAATTGTGTACCTTCAGGTCAGGAAATAAGAAAGAGGCCCAGCTCTGAGCCATAGGTTTTTAATAGCTGTTCCTTTAGTAATGCAAAGAGGAGGCTTTGCACACTCATAAATGTGATCTGATTATATTTTTTCTAATGGGCCCTCTCTCTCCTCAATTTCTGTCTGGAGGAAAGGAAGGGATGGCTTTATTCATTCAAGTATTCAGTAAACATTTACTCAGTAGCTACTATGGGCCAGTGTCTAGGTGCTGAGGTTATGAGTACATCAAGGAAGAAAACAAACTCTCTGCCCTCACAAAACTTACTTTCTAGTGGGGGGAGGCAGAAAATAAACAACAAACATAATTTTGAAAACTAAATGATACGATCCTTAGAAACTGGTAAGATCTATGGAAAAACTCGAGCAGAATAAGGGGCATTCAGAGCATGGAGACGGATTCTGATTTTTCCCCCCTTTTATTTATTAGTTTCAGGTGTACAAAACAATGCAATAGTTATCCTTTTCACTCCTCACAAAGTGACAACCCCCCTCCCTCCATTTGCTGCCCCCCCTCCAAAATCATACTTATCTATTATAATTCCATTGACTCCATTCCCACACTATACTCCACATCCCGTGACTCTACGTACATAAAATTATAGTTGACATATAATATTATTCAACATATGCTTCAGATATACAGTGCGTTGGTCAGGCCTCTACACTGTCTATGAAGTGGTCTCTCTAACAAGATGAGTCCATCTGGCCCCTAAAAAATATTTACATTATTGATTATATTCCCCAGACTGTCTTTTCTATCCCTGAGGCCATATTGTAGTTGCCAATTTGTATTGTCTCGTCCCTTCCCCTTCTCCTTCATTCCCACCCCCTCCCAACTAGCAATCATCAGTTTTTCCTCTGTGTCTCTGAGACATTTCTGTTTACATTTCTCATCTATTCAGTTCTTTAGATTCCACTTATAACTGAGATTATATA